GCTCATCCGGGCTTGCCAACTTAAATGCATCTAGTCCTTCCAAGTGACTCTGCACCATCGCAGGGTCAATGCTTGGTAGTCTGGTACCCTGCTGTTGCCTCTCTACAGTCCCATTGTAAGACTTGTCTTGCCCCTTGTTTAGGAACACTGAGGCAAAGAACTCATTGAGGAGTTCAGCCTTGTCCCCCCTGTCTGTCACCAATTGCTTTTGCCCATTCAGTAGTGGTCCTATTCCATCCTGGGCCTTCCTTTTACTGCCTATATATCTGAAAAACAATTTTTGTTATCTAATTTATCTAATGCGTCTAATTCTGAGCATATAAACCAGGGCAGGCAATTATTTTGGGCAGCGGGCCGCTTACTGAGTTTCAGCAAGCCACCGAGGGCCACATGACAGGCAGCCGGGGCAGATATATATTCATTTCCTAAATTTTGTAGGGGCCCTGCGGGCTGGATAGAATGGCCTGGCAGGCCACATCTGGTCCATGGGCCACATTTTGCCCACCCCTGGTATAAACTGTAATAGTACTGTTTGGCTTTGGGTTAAACATTGCTAGGCATAACATCATCATCCTGAAAACTACATGTTCCATTAAATGTAGCTTTCACAGGAATGTCACAGGGCTTTCGTGACACTGCTTATCCGCCTTCATTGGTTAAAAAAAAGTACCTGTCATAGACCAATTTAGTTTCCTTGGTTAGCCTTCCATTACTTTTGCATCACTACTTTATACCTTGTAGCTTACCTAGGCATGGATGAGTAGGGCATCAGCCATGGGCACCAATGTAAAGGGGTGCAAAAATGGCAGGTGCCACCGAGTCAGTCACTGCCACTGCCCTGGCCATCTAGTGTGTTGAAATTGGTTGTTATGCCTTGGTTTATGCCATTTTTTGAAGCATAATTGTAACCACAGGTTACTTATTTGTTTTACAGAGAGAAATTTAACCTTGGTAGAGGAAAACTTTTGGAAAATAAGTAACACTGTAGCTGAAGAGATTCAGTGTAAAGCTGTGAAATATGAATACTGCTAGCTTTTACAAGCTATGTTTAATATGATTTGCATCCAGAAAGTAAAACTAGTTCTCTGTAGATTTGGAACATTGCGTAGATAAAATGACCCATATGCCCTGTTTTTTATGTGGCACTAGAGTAGTTTTTATCAGAACATCAGCAGGGTCTTCCTTTTTCATTTTATCAGTTATCTTTTTGCGTTGTTTGCATAACTACAAAATGTTTTCTCTGGACAGGTTATGCCAAATATAATTTCCTTTATAGCAACAGTGCAGTGAAAAAAATAATTTACTTGAAGGAATAATGTGTGAAGCAAAGCAAAATGTTATTTGTACTGACATTATTAGAATATAGACTTGGGCAAAGGAATAATAAAGGATGCTATTTTCCCTTGGTTATTCATGATGGATTTATTTAGAAAACTAAGAGCCAGATTGTATTCTACCTGCTAGGCACCTAAATTCACTTAAGTGCCTAAATGCAGTCTTAGTCTACCATGCTCAAGTTCCTCAAACAAAATTAACACACAAGCTGAAAGGGGCTTCCTCCCCCCTGCTGCTTTTTGTGCCTTAGTCTTAAAGCTGATGGTTCATTACACATGAAGATATGTTAACATCTTTCAAGGACATGGACATCCAGTTTTGGATTGCATTTAGGTGCATAAGAGGTTGAATTGGACCTAAATTACTAGAAGAGATCCTCCATTCCAAAAAAGAAAAAAAAAGAAAAAGAGGCACATTGCCCCTCTTGGATCAACAGCTGGCACCAGTAATACACACATGCAAAATGAAAAAAAAGTAAATTTACTTTTGAGCGTTTTGTGAAAATAAAAGTTATATTTTGAAAATGCGGTCACCTTCTGCTTATGGAAGGAAGGGCTACTTCGCATTTGTTTGTTGTGTATCACAGGCAGAGAGGATTCTGTAGCACAGGAAACAGCTGTTAAATCTCTTTACCTTTGCCCCTAAGGAAACAATCCATGGTCTTGTGTCTGTTCACATATGCTGCTTGAAGGATTGTATTTTCAAGTGCACATATCCATCAGTCCCTGTGCCACTGAAATTTCCTAATGTGTCCATTTGCATCATGCTCTCTGAATTGAGCGTCCTGGTAGAAGAAGCCAAGAAAATCCAGCTGGACTTTAAATAATCTCTAGAGGCTGCATTTTCTTCATTGCTAGAATTGCTTGGTGTGCCCCACAGCAGCTATAATCAGTGCAGTTCAGCTCTGAGCTGTACTACCTTTTGAAAGATCCAGCAATTTGTTTGCGGCCCTGTAATGGCCATTTTGGGCCTTACTCAGTTGCGTGAACAGCTGTGTTTTCAGGATGGGGGGAGCCTCATTAGAGTGCAGTCTTAAATTCCATTCCCTTGTGCCTCAGTAGCAGGTACCTGAAAAAAAAGCCATGAGCAATCCTTCTACAGACTACTGAGGCTAACAGTAAATTAATGGAAGCTGGACAACTTTATTAAGCATGATAAGCCATGGATTTTAAGCACAAATATGCTTAAATCCACAAATGGATTTCAAGCACAAAGATATTAAGCACAAAAAGCTGATAATTAGGCCACTAGTTCTTATGCATGGTTAATGTGTATTAAAATTATTCACAGGAAAAACATATTGTTACTAAAGCCATTCTTACACTATCACCTGCATAAGAAAAATCCCAGACATACCTCCACCTTCAGCCTGAGAATTCATGAGAAAATTGTTGTTATGAAAAAATCCTCTCTGCTAGTTCCAAGAAGACCGAAGAACATTTGGTCACCCTCTCTTCCTTGTCTTATTATATCTTGCATATTGTTTCACTGCAATGGTATATCATTTGAAGTGATTCTTTAAAAACAGCTACTGCTGTTTGTGTTGCTGTAGCAGTCTTAACTAAGAGTAGGCCCCCACTGTGCTAGAAACGCATAGTCCTTCCCAAACTGCTGACATTCTGTATATATAGGATAGATAAAAGGAGCATTTATCCTCATTTTACAAGTGAGAATTAACACACAGACATTTTGTTGTCTTGCCAAAGTCATATGGGGGAATTCTGCAGACAAACTGGAGGTGAAATCATCTCCTAAATTTTTGTCCAATACTTAAACTAGAAGAATATTCTCCTTACCCCTAATAAACAATTATGCTTTTTTTTTTGTTACCATTTTTGTTTTCAGGTCAAAGTAAAAAATGAAAATTTAGCTTTTGCTATGAAGTGTATAAAGAAGAAACATGTAGTGGATACCAAGCAACAAGAGCATATCTACTCTGAAAAGAAGATCCTAGAAGAGACATGTTCTCCATTCATTGTGAAGTAAGTAGTTATTAATGTGTTCAAAGAAGTCAATGCAATGGATGGTTTTAAGAATCGAGTGCTATGCATGAGTTCTGAGAACAAAGCCCCAGAAATCTCTCGTTATATGTTGCTTTTCATATGCACTGCTGTTATTTTTCTTCATAGATTGTATCGCACATTCAAGGACAGTAAGTATGTTTACATGCTACTGGAGGCCTGCCTTGGAGGAGAACTGTGGAGTTTACTGAGGGACAGGTAAATACAGATTTTTAGTATGAAAAGCAGCAGTTAGTCTGTGGATGTATGTGGCCTTTAAAAATGTTTAGCTATATATACAAAGAGTCTTAGGGCTCAATTTTCTAAACAATGTGTGTCCAATGTACCCAATATACATGTGCAGTTTGGGGAGCTTTTGTACATTGTATGTTTAATCCAGCTACACATGGATTGAGATTGCTCATTTAGTCATGACAGTTGTAGTCTGATTGTCTGATTCAGAGGCAGGAATTTTTTTTTAAAGGACACAAATTGGTTACTAGCATGTGCAAAAGGCACACACCAAGAGCAGATATGACCCTGTGCTTGATGATTTTTGCTTGAATAGACCTGTACCATCTCCAGTAAAGCATTCAGATGGACATACTATAGGAACTTGATTTAAATAGAATACCACTACAACAGCATGCAATCTGTCTCTTCTGCCAAAACAGTGGTTCTTCTTTAACTTTCAAATGTGGCCTGATCTGCACTGGCTAAGGAAACAGCATTTGTATCCTAGACAAAGCTCTCTCCTTCTCTGGGTTTTTGTACTGGCATCATCCACCAATATAATATTAACTAAGGAATTGTCCATCAAGAATGTTTTTTCCATAAGCACAATCTAGAGGGAGAGAAGAGTAAGGAAACCACTCACCACTCTTACTAAAAGTGTCTCATTATGGATTAGCCTTTTGCATGCACACAATTGGGCGTGGTCAGAGGGGCGAGGGGGAGCTTCCTGTTTAAGGGTTGATAACAGTTCTTGATCCCTCTGTAGATAAATGACTGGGAGGAGGACAAGGAGGAAGTATGAGCATGGCCCCAGTTCCTTCAACACCAGTGCTCAGAACAAAACTGGTATAATCTGAGCTATTCCACAGCAGAGATCACTTGCACAGGCACACTGTGTATTGGGGAAGTACATAGCGATTGTGGCTTTTGAGTCACAATCTCTCCCAATTCTCCCCAGTATAATTTGACTGCGGAATACTTCTATACAGGAGATCAACACTGAACTCATAGGGGACAGGAACAGCTAGGTGTTGCAGAAATGGGGTTCATAATTTGGACAGGTGGTACTCTTGAGTCATTACTAATGCCTTTAAATGGTGTTAGATTTCTTTTGCTGTTGAAAGTGCCATCCTTGGAGAGGATGCAAAACTGAGCATTTATCAAGAAAAATCTCTTTCCTCCTTTTGCAAGAACTATCTAGGCCAAATTCCAGTTTGGGGGTAATGAAGAGCCTCCTGTCTTTCTGCCACCTGGTGTTTCAAGTGATTGCAATACTATTTTTTTGCACACTCTCATACTGTGGTATAGCTTGGCTATATGCTTTTGAACGATGGCTGCATTTCATTATTGGGTGAAATGATCATTATATGCATAAAGCATGTCTGGAGCTATGGAATTGTTCATGATGAAAGGTGCTACGTCAACATAAAATATTAGAACAACCAGCCAACTGACGTACAACACATGCGATGATTCATAAATCTATGAAAATGCATTTGGCTGGATCTTCAGTCACATGAATGACGAACTGCTATCAAGGATCTCGTTACATGCTAATGCAAAAAAGCTATTAGTATTCTGGGCATTAGGCTGTTACCTATTTAATGGGGCAAGCACTTTTAAAACAGAATTCAGTCTGCAAGGAAAATGGTTCTTTCTGTTCCAGAGGCAGTTTTGATGAATCCACTGCTAAGTTCTGTGTTGGGTGCGTGACAGAGGCTCTTGAATATTTGCATCATAAAGGAGTTATCTACAGAGACCTGAAGCCAGAAAATTTAATTTTGGATGGTGAAGGGTATATCAAATTGGTAATATGTTTTAAGTTGTCTTTCTATATAAAACAGAAGGCTGTACAGTATCCATACCCCCTACAAGGGATTTAGGCAGGTAGAATGTGAAATTGCTCCAGAGTTCTGACATTAAGATTATGTTCCTGGTCACTTAGGGATGCATGGGGAAGAGCAAAGATGTCCTGACCTCATGAGACACATAGTAACTTGGCAATTCTAGACTGTGGGGACCAGGAGTTTCAGAAGGTCCAAGCCCTAAGCAGTCTCCTTAGTGACCGGACTGTTAACTGTTGTGCAGGAGTGGAAAGGGGAGAATCATCTTTCTCAGACAGCAAAGTAGGTATGGAATTGCTCCTGGTTCAGGCTAAAAGCAGGAATTGGGCCTATAGCTGGTGAAGTGGAGGATAGAAACGCGTGTGTGCTGGGGGAATCCTTGGTCCTCTCGATTATGGCAGCAAACCAGAAAGGGGCATCAGAACACAAATCAATTTTGGGGTGTTTTTTAAGCCTGAAACATACCTCCTGAGGACAGTGAACTTCCTCATTCATCTAAGTGAGGTATTAATGCTGAATGCCAGGGAAAGCAAACATGGAATATTTCCGCCCAAAAGGAGAATCGTTCAGAAAGTTGTAGATGAATGTAAACAGGGGTTATAATTTTATAGTATTCAGTTACCAATACCATGATATTGCTAACACAGCTAAGAAATTGGTTGAAATTGCTTCATAGTAAGCAGGTGTAATTATCTCAACTGCAGCACTCCCTGAAGTTTAAATGCAGGAACTACTAAAACAATAAGAGAACAGAGACTCTTTAGGCAAAACATCTCTGAAGTTCACAGTGTCTGTCCTATTAGGTTGATTTTGGATTTGCTAAGAAGATTGAAGCTGGGCAGAAAACCTGGACATTCTGTGGCACTCCTGAGTATGTGGCTCCTGAAGTCATTCTGAACAAAGGCCATGATTTTGGCGTGGACTTTTGGTCACTTGGAATTCTTGTGTATGAACTCCTTACTGGGAAGTAAGTGAAGGCTTTTGCAATCATTTCTATCAGTGTTTACTTTTATATCTATTTAAAAAACCGTGTTAATATTAGGTTTGCAAAATGCTACACATTCCTTTTCCCTTTTACCTGAATCTTATCTGCCCAAATTTCAGAAATAGCTGAATTTCAGATACCCATAAACTAGGAGTCAGATGTTGATAAAAATATGGTTTCTTTACTCTCCTCAGTCAATGGGAAGGGTTCAGGGTGGCTGGTGTAGAATTTTGTCATTGAGCAGATGAATTGACTCTTGTGCTAGCCACTTCCACAAGTAAGGTATGTGATTGGTGTAGAGGAGCTGTATTATATCTGGGAGTGGGTATGGTAGAACTCCATACATCTATGCAGGTTTGCTAGTGGCATAAAGTCCTACCAGAGACCCTGTGCTGATGGCTTAAATTAAAACAACCCTGAAAAAGTTCGAAGTAGCAATAAAAATTGATCCCCATAACCAGGGACCACTATCCAGCAATCTGGTGTTCTCCAGCTCTGAGCAGATTGGCCCTGCATATCTTAAATGGTCACTAATGCAACTTGTTAAGGAAAGAGAATTTTTTTTTCCATAAGCACAGATATTCTTCTAGGTAAAAGATTGTCAGATTCATTGAGTGTCTTTTAATCATATTGTTTTCTTGTTTTCTCTAGTCCACCATTTTCTGGAATTGATCAAATGATGACTTATAATTTGATTCTAAAAGGCATTGAAAGACTGGATTTTCCTAGAAAAGTAACAAGGAGATCTGAGGATTTGATTCGCCGACTTTGCAGGTATAGGGGGCAAATGATATCAAAGCCATGGTGGGGGGGTAAAATACTTAATCGGAATTCAAGCTCAGAACTGGAGTGGTAAGTGTTGTCACCTACAATTATTTGTGTTTTCTAACATCACCTATTTTGATGGTATTTTTACGTGTCTGTGATCTAAAGATACTACAGATTAGTTTTGAGGTTCTCTAGATTTCCTTAAATTAGAAACTACTATGACATCCTAAGGTGTTTCCATATAACAGTGTTCAATAATTAAATATGTGATTTTTCTAAAGTGACTGACGGTTCATTGAAAGCAACCTGAATGCCTGAAGCTATTCTTGAAAAAGGGATTTAAGTTAAAAACTTCCAAAACATCTAAGCATAAGTCAGCACACTGCTCCAGAACCAGATCTGAGAGATCTAGGATAAGTTATAATATTTTTCCCCTGATTTAAGACCTTCTAGCTTCTGTGGAGTTGCTCTGCAGAGCTTAGTCTAGTCAGTACCTGGAGGAGAGTGCACAGGACACATTGTATATGTAGTGGTTTTGAGGAGGATCTGCACAGCAGCAAATGTTCTGGCTCTTGCCATCCCATCTCTGTTCTGTGTCTAATGAGCAGGGTCTATTCCAAATAATAAATAAATGATAGGAGTATACTTCCTGCATACTAACCCCCATTCCACTTTTCCTTCTCCACAGTGTAATACCCCAGAAAGCTTCTACATGCACAGAAGCTCAGGGCTGGATTTTTTTATGTGACTAACACCTAGTTACTCACTCCACAAGGCTATGTATCACATGCAAACACCTGTCTACCTGTCCAAATGAAGGGTTATATATGCTAATAGCTTGGAATACAAAATGTGTACGCACAATAAAGAATTTTTGCAACTTATTATTTCTCTATAATATTTCTGAATTAAGTAGGATTTAAGGAATGCAAAAATCTTTATTAGAAAATATTTCAATACATGTATATATCTTCTTTTTTTAAGGCAAAACCCTACAGAAAGATTGGGAAATATGAAGAATGGAATAAACGATATTAAGAGACACAGGTAAATGAGAGATCTGGGAAGAGCAAGCTTAGAGAGAGAAGCATTTGGAGCTAGAAGTATTTGTAGGCCTTTTAGTTTAGACCCAGAACGTGCAAACCCTTTATGGATGTGTGACGATTTTTTTTGACTTTGTTAGAAAATGTTTTGTACATTCATTCATTCATGATCACAAACAAAATATGCGGCTTACGCTTATTCTTGGTTAACCACCTAGGGGACGAATTTTCATTCTAATTTTCATTCTTAATGCTGAGGAATGATTTGATTCTTTTCAAAGTGGGAAGTATTTATTTTTTAATATAGTTTTTCTTTTCCTTTTTTAAAAATAAAGCCTGTATCAAATAAAGATTTAGCCGTGCAAAGCAAGAAGTCACAGAAGTTTATTGTTTATTGTTTCTGATTTTTATCTGGAAGCAACTCAGGTACTACTGTTATAGCCAGCAATATAAAGTCCCAAAATAGATTAGATAGAATAGTGTAACTTCTTATGGGATATGTTAGGGGACCTTGGTCTAGGGGTTTCATCCTGCTCTCAGAGATACCTGTGGTAGTATCAGAATCATCTGCTTTTCCAGACCTACCTGCTGTTTGATCTGAAAACAAATTGTAAATATCATCTTAAGAATAATAGTTAAGAGAGTCAGAGCAATTCAGTGAGTTTAGGTGAAAATCTACTTAACTTTGTGTCTAAACCACCAGACTGCGTATGAAAATCTCAACCAATATTCTTAGGTTGTTCTTAGGGTGTTTTATTGCTACCCCATTTTTAATAACCATCAACTTGCTGAGTTGATAATGATTTTTCATCTGCATGAATATAAATTGTTCAGTAATGATGCTGTTGTTTTTGTTTCCCAGCATTGGTCTTCATATAGTACCACATATGGTTTTCAGTAGGTATTTCAGATTTTGCTCTTGAAGACAAATTTTCAAAATCTGTTTCTCATGAAATCTTCAGAACCTTTGAGAGAGGTATTTGGTAGCCATGTTGGTCTGAGAAAAATAAGAAATGCAAAATTCTAGAACTCCTGGTTCAGAGATGATACCTTTTATTAGACCAATTAAGAAATCTCAAAAAAACCCCATCTTTTTCTGCAAGCTTTCTGGCCCACCCCTTTCCTCAGGCTCAGGGAAAATTAAAGACAGTAGAAAGTCCCCATAGGTAGAAAAAAAACCTTTGAGGCATGGAATCAGAATAGGTCCCCACTACAGTTAAGAGATGTAATTTTGGAATATTATGTATAGAAGTACCAGCCTTAATCTACCTAGCCTTAATCTACCTCTTGAGCCACTGGTCCTGAAGGTAAGGCAGTCTGAGGTATAAAAATGTAGAACCTCATGTATTTATGCAACCAGCTAGCCCAGCCTAATGCCCATGCTATCACATTTTTACTTCTAGTGCTCAAGTTAGCTTGGGTGGGTCTAAGTGTTCTGGGATCCTGCTTCTGCTTGCAGTGTAGAAGTACTTGCTAAAAGTTGAAATTTGAGTGTGGAGTAAAAAAGGTTTGTCATATTCATGTGCATTTCAGAAAGATAACTTCTGGCACTCTTCCACTCAAACTCTGTATGAGCTGAGTGGGATTTTTTTCATATAAATTATTCATTTTGTTATATACCAGGAGACTGTATCATCATCATCTCTCATGTCTACCTTTTTTTACAAGCTACCTTCTTTATTTTTGTCCCCACATTTATCTTTGCTACCTATGAGTGATTTTTATCACAGTTATATTGTACTATTAGGAAATGATTTACAACAGGAAATGTTGAAATTCTAAAAAGAGATTTTCTGTTAAAGCAAGTGAACCCCTTGTCACTTTAGACTATTGTGGCAATTTAGCGCCTGATCTGCTGGTCACTGAAATTGATGAGTTTTTCTTTTGAGTTCAGCATGCAATGAGTTAAGTCTAATACTGTTTTCAAGATATCTTTTTATTTTGTATCTCTGTCCCCCAGTTGGGGTTTGGCAGTTTAAGAGCTCTGAGGTTGTTTTTTTTATCTTTTTTCAGTCCTAAACTATTAAAAGTGGTAAAGTCCCTCTGTAATTTTCACAGTTGTGGGTATGCTTTTGTGCATGTGCTCAACTATTTTATTTGCTGTTTAGGTGTACAATGTTGACATCTTATTTTAAGTAGGGATGTCAATCACAGTTAGTGTGCATGATTAATGCATTAATTGGTTCTTGCATTAATTTTTTTAATGTGTTAATCGTGCACGTGGCTTTGGAACCCACACCCAGACTCTGCTCCACCACCATCACTACCACCTGTGGGCTGCCCGATAGGGCAGCAGTGGCGGTGCAGAGGAACCACAGGGCAGCCTGGGCATGGTGTCCGGGCGGCTGCAGCAGGAGGTGTGGGGGGAGGTGGCATGCACGGACACATATGAGCAGCTGCAGCCTGCACATGGTGAGTAATGCAGCCCGGCAGTGTGTAGAGCAGTGCCCAGCAGGTAAGTCTGTGGAGGAAAGGGGCATGGGGGAGGGAAGAGACAGGGAGCAGATGTAGGCCCCCACGGTGAGGGAGGGAGTGGGACGGGGGTAGGGGCTGGGGTGAATGGGGCCCTGGGGCTCGGACAGGTCCTGGGACATAGCTGCAGGCAGCTCAGCCACAGGTGTGTGGGGGCACAGCTCCCTGTCATTGTGTATGGGGTGGAGGCAGGCTGCCCACTGTGGGCTGGGGCTCTGCAACCTGCTACTTTTGCCCTGGGAGCTGCAGGACACTGTGTTGTGCATCCTATGACTGGGTGGGCAGGGGATGAATAGCATGGCCAATGCGTGGCTCCTGGGGCAAAGGCAGCAGGGTGCAGGGCCCCAGTCTGCAATGGGCAACCTGCCTCCACCCCGCGCACAAATCTAGGAGGCACATGCCTCCCCAGGCCTCCTGTGTGGGGGGTATGCAATGGTAGGGAGCTGCACCCACCCCCACACACCTCTGGCTGAGCTGCCCGCAGCTCTGTCCCAGGACCTGCCCCAGCCCCAGGGCCCCATTCACCCCAGCCCCTACCCCATCCCACTCCCTCCCTCATCGTGGGGGCCTCAATCTGCTTCCCATTCCTTCCCTCCTCTACACCCCCTCCCTCCTAAGACTTATGCGCTGGGCTGTGTGTCTGTGTATGTATCTATGCATCTTTGTGTGTGTGTGTGTGTGTGTGTGTGCACCCCTGACTCCCAAGGCACAGCCCCCCCAACCCTGCTGCTGCCTCTCATTCATGATTCTTAGTACCCCGCATCCTAACAAGGTGTACAGGACCACCCCCTCCCTGGGGTATAAACCCCCCCACACACATCCATGGCCCTTACACTTTCACAAATTCTCCCCACACACATACATCCCACACCCATGCCCCAACTGTACAAAGTACCTGTGTAATTTTGCATAATTTTGAGTTTTTAGCTCTGCGATTAAAATCACAATTAATTGCATCTAATTTTTTCAATTGCCCAATTCATTGTGAACAAATTTTAAAATTATTTGACAGCCCTAATTTTAAGTGAATACAGTGATTTGGAAATTCTCTTCTTCCCTTGAATATAAAATACATATTGCTGAAAGTCTTTTTGCTTCTCTGCTCCTAGTAGTCATGCCACAAAAGCAGCTGTAATAGTATGACCTTTTGCAGACTGTAATTTTAAACAGAGTTTTCACAATTAAATTTGTAATTTAATACCCCTAAAGTAAAGTCTGCTGATATCTTCCCCTTTCTTATCAGGTGGCTGAATGGTTTCAACTGGGAGGGACTGAGAATGAGAAAGCTGATATCGCCTTTAAAAAGAGAGGTATTAAACCTGTTCTATAATAACAACTATTTTACTTGTCTAGTATTGTTCCACTTCAAAATTCTGTATGCGCTATACAGTAATAACTAATACTAAATGCATCTTATTGCGTTTACCAGACATTAAACAAGTTTATTAAAAACAAAAAAGCAGAGCCAGTTAAATAAAATTCTTATTCTGGTTACATATTTTGCATTAGGTTTTTTCCACTCTCACAATAATTGTGTTGGGTGGAATCACGGAGGCGAAGACCACATTAGCTGGGACAGTAGGTGTAAAATAGCTGGATGCTGGGTAGCCGTGACAGTACAGGGTATAAAATCACAATTTTTTTATTCAGATTACACAGCAACACTATCTTGAACCAGTTTTTTGTTTTAACAGTATGTTGTTCTTTACCTTAAAATGATAGAATTTTGCTGATAAAGTACAGGCAGCTATTTCAATAACAACAACAATTAATAAGCAACAATGTTGAAATATGTCTTAAATAGTTGATGTGGCAACCAAAGTGCAGTGGTTTACTAGATACATACAAGGTATATTTGGATCAGAATTGTATTCACTTTTGGCCTGGTGAATCTTGCCTTTGAAGTCAGTTGACTTTAGGTCAGGTGTTATATTTGGGAATAATTTAGAGTACTGTCTTGAAAGGCAATATTAAGTTATGAGGTTCACCTTTTGTATGTGTTGTACTAGGTCATAGTTAGTGACTACTTTGAAAGAAGAATGATGTGTTTCTATTTAAAAAATCTTTGTCTTGGATCTTGCACTAATTTTTTACGTCTCTGTTGATAGCAATACAATACCATGCACAATGTGACTGGGAGTATTCTGAATCTCACTCCATTTAAAGCACCCTTTTGTTTTTTTTTTTTGGTGTCCTAGCTTGCTGGACCCACAGACTTCAGCTACTTTGACACCTATCCTCCTGAAGAAGGACACCCTCCAGATGAGCTTTCAGGCTGGGATAAAGATTTCTGAAAGATGCTACAAAGTTTGCTAATAATTTACTTGTAGAACACAGGATATCAGGACCATACTCATCAATCATAATTCCTCCCTTTAGTTGGTTTAGTAAAATCAAGGCATACTAGCTTGGTGGAAAATATTCTGTTCCTTGAAAAACAAAAGAAGAGAGCACAGTGAGCAAAATGCATCCCTTCATGCTTGCAGTTTAGATCATGTTGTACGTCTACCTCTTATTAGAAGTGCATTAATTAATTTGACAACTTAAATGTTTCGAAATGCCTCTGTGAGCAAGATCAGTCACTAAGGATTGGATGCAAGCATAGCAGTATTTCCAGTGACAGGACCATGTTTTGATTATGAGGATTAAAGCACGTCTTTAGTTTTAAGGAGACCAACGGTATCTAACTGTGGGAATTAAGCTTCTGAAATGTCACTTCTTACAACCCTCATGCATACTTGATTTTTTTTTTTTTTTTTTTTTTTTTTTTTCAGGCAGTGTTATGTAGAAAGAGAAGCACTTGGAAGAAATATTTTTTTCCTAAAAATAATGTTTGATTTGACTGTAGGGTAAGGCTAGAAGCGCCTCATTGTGGAAACAATCTGTCAGTGTTAATCCAGTGTTGTACCAGCTTGACTGCATGAAATAGATTACAACAGAACAAATGAAAGTATAGACAAGAAATGAGGTATGTAACTTGTAGAAGTTGTCCTATGATGGTGTCTGTAGTGCTCATTCTCCAAACAATTGCATTCAAGCTAAGTGTTTTTTATTAATGACTTGCTTTATATATAATGAAAAGTTAGATGGGGCTGTTCCAAGCCAATAAGCTTTAGCCAGAATGGAAAGGGTTTTTATAAATACAGCATACTCCATTGTTTTTCTAGAAGTTTGTTTGTTGTCTCATTAGTACAGAGAATCCAAAGTGACGTCTGACCCCATTCATATCAATGATAAAACTCATTGGCTGCAGTAGAGGCAGGATTTTACCTTTTAGATCCACAAAGCATTCAGAAAGAGTGAGACCCCAACCTCTGAGTAACATGATTTTTTTTAAGGAGGCACGTTCCTGTAGGAAGATTCTGAGCTATGCTTATGTCAGAGAAATAAGATTAACTCCATATCTTTGTTTTCCTTGATTAAGGGAATTCTGTCTAACAAATCATTTGAAAGTGTTCTTTGTATTTTCTCCTATCTAAAAGTGCTTTTAAAAGTGTCTAGTAATCAGTGAATGAAATCATGACAGGGAATGTAAAATTTATATTGGAAAGAAGGCTCTACCTAGCTTTAAAGGAAGTTAATAACCATCCAGACACACTAACAAAAAAAAATCAATCTCACTCTTCAAAGCCAGTTACTTTATGTTTGGTGATTTAAAATGTTCTGAACCAATAATTGCTTAATTATTGTATTTTTGCAAATGCCTGAGTTTATCAAAGCAAGGAAAAGAACAAGTTGAAATGCTGATTGAATGTCCTATGTTCATTGCTTAAACCGAAAGACTGTCTCTAAAATACTTAAAAATGTGAGTTTAACATTTTATCAATGTTTAAAAGAAGTAGTGGATTTATAACATGCAGTGTTTACCCTTAAACACTGAATTGGAGTTCATTGAGGAACATTAGAAAATTGACAAATTTTGACTTCATCTGTAGCTAGTACAAATGTAATATTTTCATCCACATGTTGAGGGAATTTAATTTAAATTTTAGGGTCTTTTGTACCATTTTTCTTCAAAATATTACAGCTGAAAAAACCAGAAGTCTCTAAAGTAGAGGTTCTCAAACTGTGGTCTGCGGACCACCACTGGTCCATGAGCTCCATTCAGGTGGTCCACAGAAAGGTTGTGGAACAATCGAGAATATCTTGTAAAGGTACTTGTAATGTAAGACTACTGATATTAAAATATGATTTGTGTGCTTTGATTTGTAGAACAAAAAAAAGCTTTTATGGTCTGCTGAGACCCTGAGCAATTTTCAAGTGGTCCATGAGAATAAAGTGAGAATCACTGCTCTTTTATGTTGTTAGGTAGAACATCCCATAGAACTGCCCCTATTATGTATGCTACATTTGGCATGAGATGTGACACCTATGGAGATAAATAGATATTTCCTATTGTTACATTGTGTTGGTTGGTTAAATATGTCAGAGAGCTCTACTAGGAACTGATGAATCTCCCAGTCATAAACAGAGGCACACCTTAAAGCCATTTGGAGCCTGAAGTTGGCGCAAACTATATTAACTCATAGACTGGATGGAGCGCCTCACTGAAAGCACTTGAGTACTCTGGGATGTGAGTACTCTAGGATCTGCTCTGGTTGCACATTGGCTGCCAGGTAGAGTTTAAGGGCTGATCACCTATACAACCTTAATAGTCCTGAGAGTGCCACTCTTAACAGGCTTTCTCCCTGTAACATAAAGCTCCAGTGGGAGTCAGTGAGGGAGCTTGATTCTATGTTCATTAAAGTCGATGCCAAATTTTACATTAGCTTCACTGGTAGGGGTGAGAGCAGAACTTACTTGCTGAATGCTCTTGAACTTGCTTTTCACCTTGGTCTGGAATAGTCTGCATGGGAGGACCTCCTAGGCATCATATAAGAGCCATTGATTTGACAAGTTCCCAGGGGAAATTTGAATACAGGCTACTTCTGTACAGGAAGACGGATAGAGGCTGGGTTGATCTATTATGTCGCTGAGTTAATTCATTATTTTTTGTGGCACAGTGGTGACCATTTTATTTGTAAGTCTAATTGTTTTGTACAAATATCTTGTTATTACCACAATCTAAATTGAGTTGATAGAAGACTTCCAATTGACTAGTACAAGTGTTGATTCAAGTGCTTAGAAAAAGATAATGTGGATCTTAAATGCTTAATTTATCCACCTAGTTGCAAAAGTATTTTAGGAACTGTGCTGCCAACAAAGGCCGGTGCAAGACAGTGATGTCTAGGCACAACCAAAGAGAGCAGAGCAGAGCCCTGAGGGTGTGAATTTCAGATATGTGCATTAGCAACTAGTACCATTTAGCAATACCAAAGAGCGTGTTTTATTTGCAAGATTTAGATGAGCACTAAACATGTCTGTTTTGTTTTTGTTTTTTACTATAATCAAAATGATCCTGTTGGGAGTTTTGTAAAGTGTTTTTGAATGTATTTTTTCATTTTATTTATATGTAATTTTTTAAAATATATACATATATTTTTAAATGAAGAAAAATGCAGTATGATAGATTTTCTTGCACATAGTAATGTAGATCTGCCCAACTGTAAAGTGTCTGTTATTTTTAGAGCAATTGTATAGCTTGTTTAACCCTTATTTGAGTATGCACAAATAAAGCTGACTTAGCCTGGTGTGCATTTTATGTTTATATGGTTTCTAGGGCTGTGCAAAATAGCACCATATCGTTTCGACTTCCATTTTCCCATTTTGAAGGGACAGTGTTTTGTTTTGATGTTTTGTTTCGAAGCACTCTTCCATTTAATTTCATTTTGTCAAACCTATTTTGATGTTTCACCCATAGGCTATAATGGGGAATCGTGAAACTGCCTATAACTTTGTCATTTCTTGCCTGATTCAAATGAAAACAGGAAGGATAGCCCCTGCTGAGGCCACAAAGCCTGTCAAGTTTCTAGGAGATAGGTGTAGCAGTTTCTGGGAAACTGCACTTCAGGCTGCTGATAAACAAAACTCGTGACGTGTGTGATGTGTGACTGTGTGTGTGTGTGTTAAGGATTGACTCCAGGATGAATATGAGTTGCCAATGCAACGAAGCAGTAGGCAGAGCCAACCGCACCCTGTCATGTATCAACAGGGGCATTGCTAACAGGTCCAGAGAGGTCTTGCTCCCCCTCTATGCGGCGCTGGCCAGGCCGCAGCTGGAGTACTGTGTCCAGTTCTGGATGCCGCACTTCAAGAGGGACGTGGAGAACCTGGAGAGGGTCCAGAGGAGGCCACTCATATGGTTGGGGGCCTCCGTGACCAGCCCTATGGGGAGAGGCTGAGGGACCTGAATCCCTTCAGTCTCCACAAGAGGAGACTGAGGAGGGGGGATCTTGTGGCTGCCTACAACCTTATCGGGGCCAGCAGCAGGGACTCGGGGAAAGTCTGTTCACCAGGGCCCCCCTTGGAGTCACCAGGAACAATGGCCACAAGCTGAGGGAGGATAGGTTTAGGTTAGATATTAGGAAGAACTACTTCACTGTAAGGGTGGCCAGAGCCTGGAATAGGCTTCCCAGAGAGGTGGTGCTCTCAC